AATTATCTCAAGAAGTAATATGAATCATAAGACACACTCACAACTTCTTTCCGTTTAATAAATAAATTTAGAACAAAAGATTTTAGGTGTCACTCAGATTCAGAACTCATCTTGTGCAGCTAGTTAGTGTAGCATAGCTTTGAAAACAAAGTGGCATGTTTTAGTAAAGTCATTGCAAATGAGTGTGAAGCTTTTATTATTGTTCTTCCATTTAAAGAATATATTTTTTCATTTGGATATGTTCTCAATTTTGTTTACCCTGCCATTTCTGGTGAAAGTAAAACTCTGTACTGATCTAGAGTAATGAAACTGAATTTTAGAATTTCGTATCTTTTTCTGCTTCCTCGGTTCCTGTCCTCACTCTTCACAGTTTTCTCCCTCTATTCACTATCAGAGAAATAAGGAAAGGTGTGCAAACTGTTAACTGCTCTTCTGTATGGCTCAGAACAGGAAAAAGTTCTGAGTAGTGCTGGTATCTGTGTTACTCAGAAGTTTTATGCCTTAATGCCAGTATCAAATATAAACAGAAATGAGTGGTTGGTATTAGCAAATGATATTTAAACAGATAACAGTTAGGAATTACTGTAATGAAGCTTGGATTGTATAACTTTATTGGATTTTCTATTTTGTATTTACTGCAAATGAGTTTGTCTCTAAAGTCAAAGTCACTTTTGCTTTGTGGAGCTGTTATTTATGTTAATTTTTCTTTCAGCTTACTGATTTGTGTTAATATTAATTTTGTTCTTTTTGTTCCGAGGATTCCATAAGAAGTTGATACTATTTTATTGTTTTGTCCACCTAAATTTCATGGTATCTTCATATTCCAGTTCCTGTAATGTTTAGGCAAAATAGAGCATCCAGCTTTGCTAGCTTTCTCTGAATCTCTTTCTGCCTCTTGGCTACAAGCCTGCCAGTCCCGTGCAAATGTCTGAAGGAATTGCCCTATGACTGCTTAAGTAAAAAAATTTCTGTTGCATTTATGATCTGAAGGCCTAGATTTATCTTCAACACTTTGATCAAACAGACATGAACAAAGAGGGGAAAAAATAGATTAATTTGCAAATATTGGGTTGAGTTCATGTGAATGCCATTCAATAAATCCACTTTTTATCTGTAGGTGTCAGCATGCATTTGATTAGAAGTCAGGTCAGTGAGACTTAAGAATTACATTTGTGTAGTATTCAGAGGAAGAATTGAGGTTCTTTACCTGACTGTACTTAAATCCATCTGTGTTGTCTCATCCTTGTAATCTAAAGATTTAAATAATCTTTTTCAGATGGAATAATTTATGTAAAATATATAGAAGCAGGGTGCCTTTGAGGTATTGCTTTTATAAACTGATTTGTTTATTGCTGTGTTTTATCTTGTTTTTTTCCTCTTATACTTCTAGGCCCAATTGTTACTATAAAACTCTTAACAATTAACTTTAAATTGTTAAGACCTGACAGACTGTCTTCCAGGTAACCTGTTTTCTGGAAATTCACTCAGGAATTATTTTAGTTGCTACATACATTGTAATTGCATAAGTGCACACCAGTACATAATTTATAAACTTCCAGGTAGTAGGTATTGACCTGATTTATTTTTCAATTGGTTCTCATTACTGATGATTCATGTATCTTCATTTTAGGTGATTTAGTGCTTCAAAAATAACAGCTGTGAAATGGATTACCTTTTGTATATGTTTGAACACATCTGTGAGAAGTATCACGACTACAATAATTCCACATTTTTATTCATTTTTTCAGAGAAGAAGCATCAGTTGATTGATGAAACTGTTGCCTGTTTTCTTAACTTGCAAGGTACACAAATGGCTTAAGGAAAGAAGATTAAATTTAAGATAGTGTTTTCCTGTACATACAATTTGGGTATGTAAAAGGTGTGAAAAACCGATTAGTGTACTTGAATCATGCTTTGCATAATCCCCAAGTTTCATTAGTGGATCCCAGTGTCATCTCTGTGTTAACACAGCTGGAGCAATTCTGCAACAATATCCTTTGGTTTTGCCTTTAGAGCTGCTGTGTATGTTAACTTATCCATCCTTCTCAAGTACTTTCCCATTAAAGTTTGACTACCCTCAACTCATTTTTGAAAGTTATGGACGAAGCAGCTTGCTTTTATTGTGTCTTTGGGTTGTTTTTTGATGTGTTCTGCTCTGTGAACTTTCAGTTAACTATAAAGCTAGTAGCGTAGTGCACCTTAGCATGTCCCTTAGCCTGTGCATGCTGTGAAAGAACGAAGCTTTGAAGGATTGCTTTCCCAGTCTCTTGTGGCTCAGCAGTTCTTGTCTAAGCACTTTACCTGCGTAGTCTATGCTCTAAACTGTAGGCTCTCTGAACAACTTGCTTCTCCACCTGCTTGTTGCTGTGGAGCTACATGGGAAGCAACTGTTGTATTCCAGCCAGTTTGTGCCTGCTTAGAGTGGAAAGTGTGCAGTCAGTTGTAGGCAAGGTCAAGATGAGTAGGCAGGACAAAATGCTGGACAATAGGTAGGACAAAATGCTAGGCTTCTGGGTATGGCAGTAGTGAATTTTGTGGTATTGGCTGAGAGATAACAAATCTCCACAGTAGTGTTACCATGGAATTCGAGGAATTCTGAATGGTTGTGTGTTCATGCTTCCCAAGACAATTGTGTCGGGTTCCTTATAGACTTTTCAAGGCTACGTGTGTATCTGTAAAGGCTGGAAGCCTCAACTTTTCAAAATGAGAATGGAAACTTCTGTTAACCATTATATGTGTTTAGAAGAGAACTTGATAAAATTCATAGTTGGCCAATAACTGCCAGTTACTTTGAGTGTTACACTGCTACTCACCACACGTATTCAGCAAGTGTGAGAAAAACATCAAAGAAGTTATTAATTTAGATTATTATAAAAGCATTGTAGAAAAATGTTGTGTGTACTGATGATCAATCTCCAGTCTGCTCACCCATGTTACATTTGAATTTGCATTTGAAGAGAGAAGTGGTGCAAAGGCTTTTGTTCATGCAAATTAAATTCTTAAAATTATTGTCTTCTGTTTCAGATTTTCAGTTACTGTCATTGTTATTCCACAGGGATTTTAACTGCAATTTATTCTGGTAGGATACTTCTCCATCACTGCACTTCATCCTCTGCCTCCTGGGAAAAGGAGAGTTGTCTAGAAACCCATACAGCTAGATTGCTGTTAGGTTTTCTTTGAGAATTCTTGTGGTGGTCTGCCTTTCAGAGTATGATGTTTGTCACTTAAAAAAGTAGGTTTTATAAAAGATTCCCTGACTGTGAGTATAGATAGGAAGTTTCAGCTGGCTCTTGTAGTCAGTGGACGCTCGTTTCCTTTTAAAATAAAAGGGGTTTGCAGGATTACTGCAGTGAATAGTACTGCATTGTGATTATACAATGTAAATTTAATGTCGTATTTCTTAAATGGCAGCAGGTTAATTCATATATCTCACTGTTCCTTAAACTTGTCTCATTTATCTTGAGAAAGAAGGTGATGTGACAGATGTAATACTGGGTACTAGAATAAATCAGATATGACAGAGAGCAAGCCTTCCAGTAAGCATATGTGTTATTTAATGAATGCTAACGTCAGTTAAGAGCTGTCCAAATAGAAAACAGCCAGATAGTGGAGTGAACTTGACTTCTGGTTTTGTTATGGTGGTGGTGGTTGTTCCTTTTCCGAGAAAGGAATTACTATTTAGAAAGAGGTGAAAAAAGAAAGGCAAATATTCAAAATAATCCCCCAAAACCTCCAAACCACCAAAGCTTTTTTACCCTAAACCTGACATTTTATATTTATTTGAAGATACATATTCTATTTTCTTGCCTATGAAAACTAAGAGACTTTCTTAAGAAAGATACAGGAAACTGTTGGAGTTAGTGCATAAAGGTATACATATGTTGGTGCTGATCTGTTGCACTGCTCTAGACTGCTATTAGAAATTGAGCTAACAAGTGAAAAGCTGACTGGAATACCTGTACTATGTGCCACTCACAACTGCACTGAGGCTGAGATAAGCATGGTTTAAACTTGAGACTTGGAGGAGCTAATACATTACTTGAACACCAACTCTGCTGGTATCTGTCTTTCATTTCTGTTTTTGAACACATCACTCTATTCTCTGCAGTTAAGAATTCAACTGAGTGGTAGTGTTGGAAAGGCTTTTGAAGCTTAGAAAGAATAGATGTGTTACGCAGGCAATGCCATGCACCAGCTTCACACAAAGTCTTTGTGAATCTTTAGTTAGACTTCAGCTACCTTTTGATTACTGCTGTGATCATGATCTACAAGTGAGAAACGCATTTGTTGATTCAGACTGTATTCATCTTCTAGTAGTCCTTGGGTACTGAAGTTCAGGTAGAGTCTATTTGCTGTTGAATACAAGAATCCTGAAATGGAAAGAGGGTGTTTTGCCTCCAATCGTGTCAGTATGAATATAATAGGTGCTTTACACAAATCCTACAGATGCTTATCATAGTCATAAGAAGGGTTCTTTAAATTCTGTTTAGCTTTTGTTGTGTTTCACAAAAATTGCTTCCAACTTCTTGGATCTGTAGTTATGTAAAGAGGAAAGAGCTTAAGTCCTATAACTAGAGGAGTGGTTTTGGATAATTGTGCCACTTAGTTTTCCATGCTGTTATTTCTAGCATGTTGTAAATAATGAAGACATGCGTGCTTTGTAATAACTTTAGATTTTTCTATAAACTGTTCAGAATTTCACTGGGAGTAAGTATGTAACAGTTCCATCCTATGCAGGTTAGATTAAGTTATGCCTACATGGTACCACAGTGGGACTGTAAAGACCTGAACTAGCACATTCCAACCTGTGGTATGTTAGGTGTTTTAATATTAGAATTTGAGACATGATGATTCCCACTTTTGCATTTAAGCCATTATCTCTCTTGATAACTAGATCTAAAAATGGAATACAGTAATTCTTTTACACATGCTGTTGGGGTGGAAGGAAAAGTTGTAGTGATAGCTTAAAAGGTAATTGATTGTGGTTTTCTTTCTTACAGAAAATGCCAGAAGCCTCAGAAGACCATAATCATTGGAAGGCCTGTTGACTTCCATTTTTTGGTAATCTGCAACATCATCAATCTGGCATGGCGCAGGGCAGTCAACAACTCGATGTGCAGGTACTCCATGATCTCCGACAACGTTTCCCTGAGATACCTGAAGGGGTGGTATCTCAGTGCATGCTTCAGGTAAAGAGTTTTTAAGAGTCAGTATATTTTTGTAGTATGAAAATTCTTTTTAGTCATATACATGGAGCATAGATTTTCATGTTTCTGGTTTTATTTTGAAAGGGTAGAAGACTCCACAACTTGCATTTTTGTCCTGTCTTTTATGTACAAAGATTTTATCATTCTTCACTTAAATTTGTGGGGGGGTTTTCACTATTTTTTCCTTGTCTGTGTGACTGTATTCATACAGGGAATAAGGAAGGTGGCTAATGGGATGATTATTGATGATGGCTACATAAATAGCATACATATACTGGCAGAGATTTTAGCACACTCATTCTTCCAAGATAAGGAACTGGCCTTAGCTATGAATCTAAAGGTTTTCTGTCTTCATAGTATCTTCTTGCCACAGTTGTCCAAAGGTTTGTTTTAACTTCTCTGTTTCCAAGTCAGGTGGCAGTTCTTTTTTTCTTTTCCGCTTATTCCTTCCACCTTCATCTAAAAGCACGACTCAGAAGTGATAATAAGTGACCACACATGATTATTTTTCAAAGTCATGGTCATCTGGGAATGCCTTCCATTAATGGGAAGATTCAGGAGCAGAATAGAAACATGTAAGATCTGGTTTGGCCTTTTGTGGCTGTGGCTAAGGTGGAACCTAGTGCGATAACTGCTCCATATGAAAGTAGTGAAGCTATATTTGCATCGTACTTGTCCCTGGCAGAAGGTAAGTTTACGTATAACTGTGGCTGTAATTTTTGCACAGTGTGTCTTCTAAACCATACAAATACAATTAATTACTTTCAGAAAAATGTAAAACAGTGAAAGTCCTGCAATATAAAGCCTTACTTATCCTGACAGTCATCTCTTCTGTAAAGTACATGATTCTTTTGATGAATTATGTTGAAGTTATAGACATTTTTAAACTGATAAAAATAAAAAACTCCTAATGCAGCAGAAGCATATGGTGTTCTATATCTATAATATGGTGTTCTGGATAGATAGTTAACATTACATTGCAAATATCTGTTATTTTTTTAAGTGTAGAATTTGTTTCCAAACCCACCTTCTATTTGTTTTAACATACGAGAACTGGTTTCCATTAACCTTTTGCGATACATGCACTAGATTTAAACCAGTGTGAGTTTTGGACCTAGCAAAAATTGAGGGTCCTTTGAAATGACAAATATATCCCATATCCTTAGAAGATAAGACTAGGGCCTGTCCTGTCTACATTCTCTCTATCTCCACCCTGATGAAGTCACTTAGGGCAGCTGAGTACGTACGCTCTTTACAAAGTCCTGTTTAGATGGCACATGGCTGATGGTAGTGGTTACCATTTTTGAGACTGCTATCTTGGCACTGTGGTGCTAATTATTTTTACAAGGTCTGGTTGCCACATGTTCTGTCTGGTTTTAAATTTTTCTGTGATAAGTCTGGATATTCCCATTGGCCTTTGGGGTCCAGAAGGGGAGCTTGACATGAAGGGTAAGTAGACCAGGAGAAGTATCCATGGAGTGAGAGCCATGCATAATTAAGTGTTGGATTCTTCTGTCTTCTGTCTGTTCAGTAGTAAGTCTTCATCTGAGAAGATGCTGAATATGTGTGTTCATCTGATGATGAAATCGTATGCAGTTTGGGGAAAGTCTTCTTCACTTTAGTATTAAGACTGACAAGGTATCAGTCCCTTAGAAAAGAAATACAACTGTGACTTTTCAACCATTGAACAGGCTGTTGTAAATTGCACTGAAAGCCACATGAGTATTAATATGTATACAAACTTTATATAATGATAGTATAGTGATAGTGTTTAAAACAGAAGTGAAACCATTATTAGTGTATATTCTTTAGAATGGTAATCTTAAAACACTAAGGAAGGCAGGGGTGTATGCTTGTATATATAAATATGTACACGCTTGTTCTGGTAGGAGGTGCTGTATGTCACAGAAGGTACCAGTCTTGGATCACATATAACTAATTTCGGGTACTGAGGGCCAGATGTAGTTGAACTTAACTTAAAATGAACTTTTTTTCTTTAACTACTGTTTAAATTAAAAACTGAACCACAACTGATACAGTCTGTTGTGTCAAAAACTGGGGAGAAGAAAATAAATCAACAATCTGGAATTCTTTCTAGTGATTTTACTCTTTTTCAAAAGCTTTCATCTCTGTCATCCTTTCAGCAACACTAGATTAGGCTTAAATGAGTGGAGAGGGGAAGAGAGGAAAGGGAATTCCCCATTATACTTTTGTTTTGATTCATAATTTATTGTCTGTATAGTTTCAGCTGCTGTCACCACAGAACAAATCAAAATGTTTACAGGGGTTATTTGGTTTCTCACCGATGTATGAATGTAAACCTCTTTTTAGCTTTGAGCCTGATATTCTTAAAGGAAGATGAAATTATGTCATAACTGTAGGGTGCTTTATGGAATTGCCAGTACTTTTTCAAGCAGTATTTATTCTAACTTCATTTTTTAAGGCACTAAATTCTGTTCTACCAAGAGAAACTGGTTTAAAATGTTGGGCTTTTAAACTTTCAGGTGAAGCAAAATGCTCGGCTAAAGCGACATGCTCCAGTAAAGTGAAATACTCTGGTAAAAGTAAAATAAAGGTGAAAACAGTAAACACTTAAGTAAACAAAATGTCATCTACATTATCGTTTCAACTTTACAGAGTTTGCAATTTTGCTCTAGTTTGATTTGATTTGTGTTGCTATTAGAAGTTGTTAATTGTACATACCTGTTCCTTGTAAAAGATGCCAATAGTTCTAACCATTGTTTTCCCCAAAACTGGACTTGATTTTTTTAATATGCCATACTGTAGCTAGTGTTGCCATAGGATTTTGCTAGATGCAATGTGAGCTATGTGCTACTTGCATACTATGACTTAGTAGGTATTACATTTATTTCAAAATTCGTTTACGTGAAATGTTTTTGCTAGTTGTGTTCAAGCTAGGCTTGATTGCAGCTTCAGTTGAATGATTGTTGAGTGCTGAGCAGTGGCTTTTTCTTTTGCTATTTGACAATAATAGGTGTCCATTCTTACTCCTAGAACAACAACAACCTAGATGCCTGTTGTCGAGCCCTTGCACAGGAGAGCAACAAATACTTATATATGGAGTACCATAGCCCTGATGACACCAGAATGAATCGAAACAGCCTTTTGCACATTAACCTGGGTATTCATCCTCATACCAGCTATCACGCAGGGGATGGAGCTCAACTTAATGGTGGTCGTACACTGGTACACAGTTCAAGTGATGGACATATTGATCCACAACGCACAGCAGGTAAACAGCTGATATGCTTAGTTCAAGAACCACATTCTGCTCCCGCTGTTGTGGCAGCTTCTCCTAGTTACAATCCATTTTTCATGAATGACCAGAATAGAAATGCAGCTACTCCTCCTCCACAGCCACCTCCACAGCCATCTTCCATACAACCAGGAATGAACACGTCTGCTATGCAAGGCCCTCCTCCCACGTATATGCACATACCTCGGTACAGTACAAATCCCATTACTGTTACAGTATCACAAAACCTCCCCTCTGGACAGAGTGTACCCAGAGCTCTACAAATTCTTCCACAGATTCCAAGCAATCTTTATGGGACTCCTGGCTCTATTTATATAAGACAAACATCTCAGAGTTCTTCAGGACGACAGACTCCTCAGAATACACAGTGGCATTCATCGCCACAGGGCCCAGTTCCACATTATACTCCCCGTCCTCTACCTGTGTATCCACATCAACAGAACTACCAGCCTTCTCAGTATTCTCCTAAGCAACCCCAGATCCCTCAGTCAGCTTTTCGATCACCACCGGCATCCCAGTGTCCCTCTCCCTTTGGCTCTCCTCAACACCAAGTTCAACCTCCTCAGTTGGGTCATCAGAGTTCACATGTTTTCATGCCTCCTAGTCCTTCAACTGTCCCACCCCATCCATATCAGCAAGCATCCCAGACTTTTCAGAAACAAGGTGGTCACTCTGTATCATATCTTCCTCCTTTTGCTGGACCTAGTTTATCCAAAGGTTCCATGAATAAAATAGAAATTACAGTTGAGCCACCGCAAAGACCTGGGACTACAATGAACAGAAGTCCTTCACCAATAAGTAATCAACCATCTCAACGAAACCAGCACCCACTGTATGCAGCCACTACTCCTCCTTCAAGCTCTCCATCAAGAGGTATGTCGGGTCAACCCAAACCTCCATTTAGTGTTAATCCAGTATATATTACCTACACTCAACCAACCGGACCTACAGGTGCACCAACACAGTCTCCTCGGGTAATGGTATCTCAGCCGAACCCAACCATTTTTAAAATCACAGTAGGTCGAGCACCGACTGAGAATCTTTTAAATTTAGTGGACCAAGAAGAGCGTTCTGCAGCACCAGAACCTATTCAGCCTATTTCTGTAATCCCAGGATCTGGAGGAGAAAAAGGAAGCCATAAGTATCAGAGAAGTTCTAGTTCTGGATCAGACGACTATGCTTACACTCAAGGTAAATGTTTCATCCTGCAAATTGTATTAGTATAAAATGCATTTTCAGCTTGATTTTGCTACCTATTAAGTGAGAATTTTTGAACCTGTACAGAGAAGAATAGAAATTGCACCAAAAATTATCAAATGAGAGAGTTTGTTCTGATTTTTAAGAAATTTTGCCAGATTTCAGCCTAATACCTAAAGAATTTCTGAGGTTATTAGAGTTGCTATGCTTTTGATGTTAGGGGCATTTCTTAAAAGAAGACAATGCAGCTAAGAAAAGTAAGTGGTATATTCACATACTGTGTGTCCAGTTTGTTAATTCTGTGTTGAAGAACTGTGTCATAAATTCACATGTGGATTTTATTATTTTTTTGTATTTGTTCCATACTTAGATGCTTAATAAAACCTGAAGCACTAACTTCTGCAAGGAATTTGAATCTAATTTATTTGGTTTAGGTTGAAGAATATTAGGTGAAAGAGGATATAGAGATAGGATTGCAGCTAAGATTACTTTGGGTGTCAATACGAATTATGTTTTTGTTTTGAAAGGTATTAATTATTTTGAAGAACTTAGCCAAAAGTTCACTTCTTCCACTTACAGTTTTCAAAGAAGAGGAAGAGATTGGCAGACAAATTTTAGGATGTGTTTTTTGCTGCGTAGAGATAGAACATAGTCAGTCTTAATGACACATGTAAATGAAGAATTAAGTAATTTAGTTAAAAAAAAAAAAAAAAAAAAAAGGTGAAATCTAACCGTTAGCTGAAAACTGCTTTTCTTGAGTAACCTGCTTCATAGATTTGAAACATTTAAAATTGAGCAAATTAATCTGTCTGCAAACATTCGAATCAATCATTTGGGGTAATGGCAGAATGATATTCAGCAGCAATTATTTAAAGAATGTGCTTTGTTTCTGGATTTGTGTTTGGAAAAGAGTCTCTTCCTCCATTGGTCCTTCTAGCTTTAGCCTTCCTTTCACTTTAGAGAGCTGAAATACTGGTTATAATGCTGCTTTGTAGTTCTTGATTTCTTATTTTGCTTCGTGTCTTTTGAGCAATTCTGACTCATCAATGAAGAGCTGTTCTGTACCTGGTAGACCCAATTAGAAATCTTAATTAGAGAAAGAACACTAGTAGGTCTGTAACTCCTAGGCCATATTGCTTTGTTTGGTAGTGCTCCTATTACAGCTTCATTGAAGATTGTCAGTTATGTGAGAAGACTTGTAAGTAGCTTCACATAACTGAGGAAAACAAACTCTGAAATGTAAAAATCTGGTTTTGCCTTTGTATATTTGACTAGTTTTGTGTATTTGGCAAACAAAACCAATAAAACAGTTGGTATATGCTTTTTGGGGCATTTGCTTTTGTGGCTATACCTACCATAGCTGGAACTTTATTATAGCCTTTAGTATTGCTGCATTCTGAGCTCTTGAAAGAGATAAATTGTAGAAGAAAAAATGTAAGAGTTTTTACTACCACAAAAGAGTCCTAAAGAAGAGTGTATTTAACAGCTTAATAAAGGAAACAAGTTAATTTTCATTTAAATATGAACCATTGTGAAAAGTATTACCACAAATCCATTCTGGTGTCTTTACTTCCACTGTTTCTTTGTAGTGTGACTCACATTTGGGTTGTACGAGAGTATAATGCGTAGCTATATACTGTAGTCATATCAGATGTCAAGTTGAAGGAGTCACACAAAGACAAGGTTTGATAGTAATAGTGGAAAATCGTACAGCCTAGTATCTGTATGGGTTTTTTTTTTTAAATTCTGTGATCTCTTAAACTCTGCTTGGATGACTTATGCTATTTCAAAAAGTAGAGAACAGTTCTGGTCAGTAATACTGGTGCCTGTATTATAAAAACAGCTGATGTTACTCTTTGATAGGATATTCAGTGTTTATTCTTTGTCTGTGAATTGGTGGATCCATACAAAATCCAAATTATAGAGCTAAATTTTTGCACAGAATACTGACATCTGATTAAAAAACCTGTAATTTTTATGCTCCTGACTGTTGTGATTTTTTGTTTTTTGTTTTTTTTTTTTGTCTTCCCCCAGTAAATTGTGTCATATTGTTGCTTATTTTTCTGACTTTTTTATTTTAGCTAATATGCAAATATTCTTGAGATATTATGTGGTTTTTGTTTGCCTGTGTTGGATAGAGGTGAAGAAAAGGGCAGGTGCTGGCTGGTGCTTTGTATGAAATAGCGTTTTGTAGATTCTGCAGCTTCTTCATACATTTGAACAGTTTGCTGGAATATTGTTATATGAGCAGCATGCTTGTCTGTCTACCCACAGCAAATTTCTCTTATTTTTATGTGTCCTAGTAGACTTTAATCAGGTAAAAACAGCCAGATCAGAAAGTGCTAAGCATCACACTGATTAACTTGGCCAATTTTGCATCATGATGAAATACTGAGAAGTGCTCTTCCTGTAAAAACTGAGTATTATTTTCTAGCTAGTAAAAATTATTTCTTTGTCTGCCCTGGGAGCCCAACGTCAGCTTTGAACTGAGAGTCATACTTCAGTACCATGGCAAAAATATGAAAGAATGATTAACAGCAGAGAGAGGTTCAAAAGGACAGTGAATCAGCTCCATTGTAGAATTAAAGACTGAAGCATCTGAGCTGTCCCTACTTTTTATTTTCTGGATTCTCTAGTCTGTTTTATTAAAGTTCTATAGTTTTGCCTTTGAGCACTGGGGAATTTATAGTATTGAGAATTACAGTACTCTCTGAAAAGCTAAGACTCCTTAAAGTTGTTATAGCATAATCTGTAACAGCAGTGAAAAAAAAAAATACAGGACTGACATTTGGCTAATGTCTCAAGGCTAGTGTGTCAGATGCCGTTGAGCAGCAGATGTGGAGTGTGTGTTACCTTCTGATCTTACCTCTGGTATTTATTTTTTTTTGTCAGTACAGTATTAATATAACTAGGTTGCTGTTTCATCCTGAGAAGCTGTCTCCTTGCACAGGTGCCTTTGTATTTTTGAGACGAGAAAGACCAAATGCAAAAAAAGAAGCTTTGACCAAAATGGTAATATCAACTTCAAGTTACTGTCTAAAATATGTTTTTATTCTGGAAGAACTTTGTTCTAAATTGTAGTTCATTTGGCATGAAAGCATCTTCACACTGATATTTGGCTGCATGTTTATGATCACTTTTTTTTTTCCCAGAAAGGTCACTCATGAATCTTACGCATAAGTTAAGAATTCAGTTTTCCAGGTTTTTGTGTGTTAGTAACTGTTTCTTCCATGTTAAACATTAGCCTTGCTGTTACATCAGCGAGCAAGGATGGAGAGATTAGCAAAGGAACTGAAGCTTGAGAAAGAAGAGCTCGAACGCCTGAAAGCTGAAGTCAATGGTATGGAGCATGATCTAATGCAGAGGCGGCTGCGAAGAGTTAGCTGTACAACTGCAATTCCAACAGTAAGCAATTTGTTAGTATTTTAATTCAAGATACAGATTTGTTTATTATGTTTTCATGAACTAAAGTATTAAACAGGAAGTATTTTTGGGTATAAAATCTTCACTATTTGGACATTATTTTTCAAGTTCTTGGCTTGTTGTAAGCCAGTTCTTATAATTTAAGAAACAGATACGCGTCCAGCTTTCTTTGTGTTCACAACACAATTTCTGAAACTTGTATACATGTGCTTTTCTGGATCGCAGAACTGAATAGATAATTACTTTCCTAACGACCTATAAAAGTGTATGTCCAAGTCTATTTAAAGAGCCTGAACCATATACAGCTTGGTGTTCATGCAGCAAGGTTTCATAGCTTTTTTTAAAGGTATTTTGTTGTTTGAGTAGCTGCATGTCATAGGCAATCTATTTCCTATTTGGTATGTGCAGGATGCGCCAAGTAACTTTTCAGTGGTGGTCTTGGCTCAAATAATTTGCACCTCTCTCTCCTCTTTTCCTTGTTGGTTTTTCGTGTCTATGTGACTTCCACCTGCAAGTGACTGTAGCCCAAACATCTGTATGGCTCTGATAAGAGAATTCATCTGACTGAAAAATAACTTCTACTTTGTGCAGTTGTTAGCCAAATCAGTTCAGACTTACTGTGTTGACATAAACAATGCACACGGATGTAGGCTGGGAGGCATAGTAGGGGCTGTTAGATGCTTAACTAGTGCGGCTGCTGTATGTCTCACCTGCATTTGGAGGTGTGTTCCTGGGAGGAATACAGAAGCACTGTCTGAGAGTGCAAGGATGAGGTTGGGAAAACCAAAGCCCAAGTGGAGTTGGGTCTGCGTGGGATGTCAAAAGTAAAAAGAAGGCTTCTGTTAGCACACAGGTGACAAAAGAAAGGGTAGCGAAAATGTGGGCCCATTTCTCAATGAGACGGGGGACCTGGTTACATAGGACATGGAAAAGGCTGAGATAGTGAATACTACCTTTGCCTCGGTCTTTACAGGCCTTCAGGATTCCAAAGTTCCAGAGACCGCAGGAGAAATCTGGAGCACGGAGGGAGAGGATCAGGTCAGGGAATATTTAAGCAAAGCGGACGTGAGTTCATGAGTGCTGAGGGAGCTGGCAGATGTCATTGCGAGGCCACTCTAGATAATCTTTGATTGATTATGGTCTTTGGGAAAAGTGCCTGGACACTAGAGGAGAGCAAATGGTATTCCTGTCTTCAAGAAGCCGGCCTCAGGGAACTACAGGCTGGTCAGCCGTACCTTGATTCTTGAAAAAGTGGTGGAGCAGCTAATCTTGGAGAGCATTTCTAGACACATGAAGGACAAAAAAGTGATCAGCAATAGTCAGCATGAATTCGCCAAGGGGAGGTCAAGCATGACCAATTTGATAAACTTCTAAGATGAAAAGAGTGTCTTGGTAGATGCGGGGAGAGCAGTGATTATTGTCTACCTAGATTTCAGTAAGGCTTTCAGCACTGACTCCTGCAAGACCTTTGTAGAGAAGCTGATGAGGAGACAGTGGGTGGATTGAAAACTGGCTGAACAGCCAGGGCAAGAGTGTGGTAATCGGTGGCACAAAGTCTGGTTGGGGATCAGTAACTAGCAGTGTACTGCAGGGTGGTCGGTATTGGGCCTGATCGCATTTAATGTCTTCCTTAATGGTCTTGATGATGGGACAGAGTATATCCTCAGCCAGTTTAATGATGATACAAACTGGGAGAGTTGTGCTGCCATTCAGAGGGATCTCAACGAGCTGGAGAAATGGGCTGGCAGGAACTTCATGTCATTCATCAAGGGGAAGTACTAAGTCCTGCACTTGGGGAGGGACAACCTCATGCACCAGTATAAGCTGGGGGCTGACCAGCTGGAAAGCAATTTTGCAGAAAAGGCCCCGGTGGTCCTAGTGGAGACCAAACTGAAAATGGGCCAGCAGTGTGGCAAAAAAAGGCTAATGATATCCCGGGCTGCAGGAGTGTTGCCAGCAAGGGGAGAGAGGTTACCCTTTCCCTTTATTTAGCAGTGGTGAGGCCACACTTGGAGCATGGTGTCCAGGAGTAGGCTCCCCAGTACGAGAGAGACATGGTCATACTGGAGAGTCGAGCGAAGGGCCACAAAGATGATTGAGCATCTTTCCTGTGAGGCAGGCTGAGAGAGCTGGGACTGTTCAGCCTTGAGAAGAGAATGCTCAGAGGGATCTTACCAGTGTATAGAAATACCTGAAGGGAGGGTGCAAAGAGGACAGAGCTGAGCTCTTTCCACTGGTGCCCAGTGACAGGACTAGAGGCAGGGGGCACAAACTGAAACACAGGAGGATCCTCTGAACCTCAGGAACCACTTTTTTACTGTGTGGTTGACTGAGCACTGCCACAGATTGCCCAGGGAGGTTGTAGAATCTTCATCTGTGGAGATGCTCTAAAGCCATCTGCTATCTGGACAGAGGTTTTGGACCAGATGACCTCCAGAGGTCCCTTCCAACCTCAAACATTCTGTGATTTTGTGACTGTGATGCTGGAATGTATCCTAGGATAAGGTTGTTATTCCTACATATGTGTTAATAAACTCTGCTCCTATCATTAAGAACACTTTGCATTCCAGTACCTTTGGGTTTCTGAATGATACGGAAATATTTGAACTTAAATAACTGATTATTCTGTTAAGGATATTTACTGTCTTGCAACATTGGACGATTTAAATGTAGTGGGCTGGAAGATTTGGCATGTTGGAGCTCCTTGGGGTAATGCAAAAAAATAAACATCTGACCTTATTCGGTTATAATCATGTAATAATGTGAGCTGCAGCTTGTATTCTTTTTCCTGATCATCTCAATGTAAACTCATGTAGCAAGTCATCACTTTGTACAGAATTTTATAAGGTGTATGGTTTTATAAATTTGAGCTCAGCTATGTCTTCTTCCTAATTAATATTAAGTAACTTGTTAATTTTTATTGGTTTGGTTTGTTTTCCTTCTCAACTAGAATAATGTTTTTTGAGGGAATAAATTGGGTAGGGGGGGTGGGACAGACAGTGGAGTCTTGGCTGTTTTTTTCAGTGCTTTACTATACTCAGTTTCTAATAAAGCTGTTAACAAAGATATAGCAATGTTATTTCTATGTCACATAAGATGCTGGTTTTCCCACAATTACTATTTTGGGTTGTTTCTTTCTAGCCTGAGGAAATGACCAGATTGAGAAGCCTCAACAGACAGCTCCAGATAAATGTTGACTGTACACTGAAAGAAGTTGATCTCCTTCAATCTAGAGGTATAGAATTGATAGGTTTAAAAAAAAAAAAAAAAAAAAAAAAAAAAAAAACCATAATTCCAATATGGGTGGGAGTGCTGAGGGTAGGAAGGCCCTACAGAGGGATCTGGACAGGCTGGATCGATGGGCCAAGGCCAGTTATATGAGACTCAACAGGGCAAAATGCCGGGTCCTGCACTTGGGTCACAACAACCCCATGCAGCCCTGCAGGCTTGGGGAAGAGAAGAGTGGCTGGAAAGCTGCCCATCAGAAAAGGACCTGGGGGTGTTGGTTGACAGCCAGCTGAATGTGAGTCATCAGTGTGCCCAGGTGGCCAAGGCCAACAGCATCCTGGCTTGTATCAGAACTAGCGTGGCCAGCAGGACCAGGGAAGTGATTGTCCCCCTGTACTCGGCAGTGGTGAGGCCACACCTCAAATATTGTGTTCAGTTTTGGACCCCTCACTACAAGGAAGACACTGAGGTGCTGGAGCGTGTCCAGAGAAGGGCAAGAAAGCTGGTGAAGGGTCTGGAGCACAAGTCTTGTGGGGAGCGGATGAGGGAACTGGGGATGTTTAGCCTGGAGAAAAGGAGGTTGAGGGGAGACCTTATCGCTCTCTAGAGCCACCTGAAAGGAGGTTGTAGCGAGATGGGTGTCGGTCTCCCAAGTAACAAGTGACAGGACAAGAGGAAATGGCCTCAAGTTCTGCCAGGGAGGTACAAACTGGATATTAGGAAAAATGTTTTCACTGAAAGAGTTGTCAAGCATTGGAACAGGCTGCCCAGGGAAGTGGTTGAGTCACCATCCCTGGAGGTATTTAAAAGAGGTGTAGGTATAGCACTTAGGGACATGGTTTAGTGGTGGACTTGGCAGTATTAGGATTGCAGTCATACTCGATGGTCTTAATGGTCTTTTCCAACCTAAATGATTCTATGGTTCTAATATATTATATGCTTAAATGTGGATACTTGGACTCTTTAAAGTTCAATTTTGGTTATCAATATCAACTTATATGTAAAAGATGTCTTTTTCAGTTGCAACCTGATAAACTTGACTTGCTAATATTTCTGTTGACCAAATTAAATTACATTACCAAGGAAGTGGTGACAAAAGTGACTTTGTCAAAAGCAAATTAAAATAACCCACTTCCTTAGTGAAGGTTCTTCACTTAAAAATTTAACTTTTTGCTGAAAAAGGTTCTGACCAAGTAATAACAAAACAGAACTACAGGTTGCAGCCAAGAAGGTGGCAAACAGAAATCTACTCATGACTTTAAAAGTCCTCTTTCTGTGACAGAAACTTGACATAAATACAAGTAGATTAGATTATGTCCCTTTTTACCAAGAATGTGTCCTACAGAAAGATTTAGATTTTCACATTTTTAAGGAAATACAGAATGTTGATCTGGAGTTTCAATATGGGATTAGCTAAAAATGACTAGAATCAACACGAAATTGAAAATATGTGACAAAAGACTACTCAGGAAAAAGCTAATATATAATGTCATAATAAAAAGATGTATAAAATCTGAAGCCTCTAGATATTCATATTGTTGGGATAAGGATGTAAATAACCTTTGAGTTATGCTTTCTTACTTTTTATTTTCTAACAGGGAACTTTGATCCGAAAGCCGCATGTAACTTTTATGATAACATAGAGCCTGGTCCTGTTGTGCCACCAAAGCCATATAAAAAGGGTAGGTCAACAAACAAGCATCAAGTTACCCAAGCTGCACCAAGAAAACTTTTTTTTTCTTCTTTTTTTAAAACCCCTGTGGTAACAGGAAGCAATTCTAATCATTATAACTTTTCTCTATGCATAAGCCAAACCAGAACATTTTTATGTAAGAGCAGTAATCCTGGCTACAACTTATTTTCCTCGGGCAGTTTGTTGCACATGAATGTTATGTTGTTTGTAAATACTGTTATTCACTATTAGAAAGAGTTGAAAGTATACAAACTTTACATCTTAAATTGATCTTCCTAGTTATGGGGTTTTTTTTTAAATACCTCTAGGTTAAAAACTCAGTCAGATTTGTTTAGCACTCTTTTAGTACATGTTGTTAGGATTTTCTAGTTTAGTTGGGATCTGTTATGCAAGTTTAGTTGGTCATAGCAGCTTTTTAAAATTTGCATTTATATTTTTAAATATATTTTAACCTGACTGGTCACACTTTACCTGTTTTTTGTGCAGAGTGTGAATTTCACAGTAGCCCTGAAGTTTTAGCACAGCAGGAGCTTCAGACATTCTGAAGGACCGAGACAGAACACATTTCCTCACGTCAGTCTAAAGACAGAACAGTGTCCCACTTGTACAAGTTCATTTCTGATTTCCAACATTTTCTGTGTTAATTATATAGTAGCTAGAATTCATATCCAGATTAGGACACATAAGTTCTATGGAAGCACAGGAGCTCTGTATTTAGTCTCACTTTTTGTCCAGTGGAGTTTGTCAGTACATCCCAGAGTAGACCCAACTCATCCTAAGTAGACACTTAGTTGCCGTATAGCTCAGTCGCTCTCTGAACTTCACTACGTTTAGTGGTGACTTTGGAGCAGAATCCCCCCTTTTGTCTCGCGTAATTTTGGACTTTTTTTTTTTACTTCCTGGAATATGTTAAAAGAATGGTTTCAAATATTAGTGGAAATTTTTAAATGCTTTTTATCTTTCTGCTGAAATAGCCAGTCTGAGATCCTGTGCTCTGATATAGGGAAAACAGTGGTCTTTTCTCTGAAAATGTTGTGAGTGATAGGATTTGTAATATTGTGTCTCCTCTTACTGTAACTAGCATGTACTAAAATTGTTAGTGGAAAAGAAGTCACTCTTCTGAATCAGTAATCATATAGTCTGCTTGAAAATCCAAATTTTGTAAATAAGTTCTAGTTGCTGATAAGTACTTTACAAAGGTTTTTGCAGTTGAATTTTTTATTCGAAAAAATAAATTTTTCACCCTCTTTTGAAGCAAGTATTTTACCCTTCAGTGTAATAAAATGCTTCAGTGTAATAAAATGTGGGGATTTAAAAGAAAGAGAAGGCCCAGAACCACTGATCGTGGTTCAAAAAAACCCCAGCCAACACTGGGATGAGTTCCCTGCATTGCATAGGTGGTAGTGTCCAGGGAAGTAGCAGCAGGTGAGCTGTGGCATGAAGGCAGCTGCCTGGATTCATGTTAAATTGCAGTGGTCATGTGGCTGATTGAAGGCACTACTACTTCATGATGCTTGAAAAGATTCTCTTAATAACACTAGCCTATTTGATTTATCATTTCAAAGCAAAATAATGAACATGCAAAACTTGCATGGAATAAGTGATTTTATTCGACAATTGGAAAGATAGTGTCTTGTAAGGATTTGTATGACTTTTATGACCAGCTTCCCAGTTTTGTCTGTCAACTTAGAGATCAGTTTTAGGGCTGGTGTACAGTGTTCTGAGCTTGGCTTTTAAAATGGAGCTGTCAAATTTATGGTTTGGGATTTTTTTTCTTAAAAAATTCCATTTCCTTAATATTCAGCTATTGAAGGTGTGGGCAGACAGGTCTGGGCAGACAGGGGGCTGCTCTGTGCTGCCATCTGCCTAGTCAACATGAATGCAGCCTAGTGTCCACACTACTTGCTTGCTTAGAAGGAATTTGTTGAGGCCAAGTACCCTTGATGTGACTACGCAGCTTCTGAGCTGGAGAGGGTTTACATCTAAGCAAAGATGTTACTTTTGTTTTCTTTAAGTATGTCTCTGAAGACAAACCTAAGTACTGTTTGCACTAACTTTGTCATCAGCCACGTGCTAGATTTCTTAACAGATGACAGCAAAGCGTGCACTTTGAATTAGAAATTGCAGTCCTTTTTTACAATGAAAGTTTGGTTTTTCATTAAGCTATTCTACAGATGTTTGTTTAGCAGATGGGTATCTTAACCTTATCATCTAGGTATGTGTGCTAATATTTTGAATATTGACATTTTGTAAAATGTTGTGTTTCCACATCCTAGAAGTATTTGTCACTTTTAGTAGATAACCTGAGGTGTTGAAGTGGTGTTAGGAGACATAGGAAAACCTGGTCTTTCTGCAGGTTAATACCTGATGTATGATTTGCATACGTACTGATTTTATGAATGAAAGCAGATGTAAATGCTGCTTCACATACACACATCCTTGCTGCAAAGCCATGATGAAGAAAAACAGTCATCTTGTTTTGAAACAGGCCTACTATTTTGTCTTTGTATTGTATTTTCTTTAGCCTGGATAAACGCTAGGAAAAGATGCAAAAAACGTATCATCTGTCAGACTGTTTGAAGAAACTTAAGTTAGAAGTAATATTTCATTTCAGGTAGAGTAGTATGATTGGAATTTAGACTTTGGTAATGGACTGCTGTATGTAGTGTAAACCTGTAAAGTCATTCCTTAACAGGATGGTGGTGTAGTCCCAGTAATAAACTTCTCTGTATGTTTTAAGCTATTAAACCTTTAGCAGTATCAGTGACCTAACAGTGATGACTGTTCTTTTTGTTTTTATTATAGTATGGTTAAGTGATTCTTTACAGAAAATTTAAGTATTCACATTTCACAAACTGAATTAGAAGTACTTTAGCTAAAGACTCTTAATGTTACTGAAGTGGGAAGGTTTCCATGTTCATTTTAAGATAGAAAGTTTACTGAGGTGACAAACGAATAGCATGATCTTGCCTACCATCCTTCTCTTCTGAAATATGAGAATTTTTTTTCCTTTGGCTTTCTTTAGAGCATCAAAACAGCTCCAAACAGACTCCACGGACTCAGCCAAGAGATGAAGACTTTGAAGGGGCTCCATGGAATTGTGATAGCTGCACCTTTCTAAATCACCCAGCACTAAATCGCTGTGAGCAGTGTGAAATGCCACGATACACCTGAAAATCAGGAAGGGGCTGCACTGGGTTGAAAACAGGCTCTCAAGCCAACTGCTGTAGGAGAAGGAAACATGGGGAACCTTTCAGTCCATCTGCCCAGCCTTTGCCAGTCAACAATCTTCATATTGCAAGGGGTGGGAGTAATGTGTTAAGATGTTTCTGCTTGTGCTACACTATAAATAAATAAATAAAGGAGGAAATTCTTTCTTATCCCATTGCATTGAGCAAAGCAGAAAATGAAACCTGAAAATGTAAAAGGATTAATTTGGGGGAAGAATGTATACAGGAAAGCAAGTAACTACTGGTGTTAGTCCTGTGGTTATAGTTACTGCTTAGTGGCTCTAAAACAAACAAAGAAAAACAAAAAACAAACAAAACAAAAACAAACCAACAAACAAACCAACAAACAAACTTTTTTTAAAGAAATTATAGGACTCTTAGTAATGGTGTGAAATGTTACACTTAACCAGAAAAACTGAAGAGCCAGAGCTGACTTAACCTGGCCACAGCTAGCTGGAAAACAAAGGCTCCCTGTGCTTCTACATTGTAAGCTACTGAAAAAGAAGACAGGTAAATGCAACAATAAATTTTTGCAACATATAAAAAAGAAGGAGAAGGGTATTTGTAACTGCTGCTTTTTTTCAGGGTAACTTATGTCTACAAAAAATTGCTGTTTGAAATAGTAACCTAAGGTGACTAAATGAGATACCATATGAGTGTTACAGAGAGTTTAATCAGAGGTAATTTTTTACAATCCCTTTTGCTTGTACAGTGCTCACCTGGCTGTGTCAACACCGGTAATAAACTAAGAATGAGTTCTACCTTACTACGGATGAAAATAGTGCTGCATGCTTTCATTAGACCGTCGTGTTTCAAAGCTAAAAGTATGCTTTTATATACAACAATCTTCTAAGCCTGTGCTGTGTAGCAGCACAGTGACATATGCCAAACAGAGACTACTTCAAATTTGGTTTGGAAAACTTGAGCTCAGCCATGGTTGTGTACGAGAAGAGTTTGTACCCAGTTCCTTAGGCCTTTTCAGCTTCCAATTTGTGAAAAATTCATGATGTTTACAGCACAGAAGGTACTTTGTACCCCAGTTCAAAGTTAGCTGAAAAATAATCAATTAGCTCTTCAGTGAAGGTTTATTTGCACATCGTTAATAAACCAGCCTGTATAAAATAGCAGATGCCAGATCCTGAAAAATTAGACACTGCATTCTTTTTATTTTGGTCAGGAAATATTTGCTGTAGGTTGAAGAACACAAGACTTGCAACTGAAAATCATACTGGTACTTTTATGCATATGATATACTGTATTATAAAGGTGATGTTCAATCTGTTTGAATGCTTCAGGTTGCTGTAATAAAGCACTCAATACTTGTGAAATTGAACTTGGGTTTGGGCAGCTGAATGATTATGTTACACAACTGTGCGACTGAATAGGATGTTCTTGTGTACTGGTCAGAAGCTGGTACAGTGCATTTGCGTTTTTATGGTATAACTTTGTCAGGATTGAGACGCAACAAAGCACGTCAGCTGAGTAATGGTAATTGACTTTGCAACTGTGAGGCAAAATGTGCTAGCTGAACCTTACCCGAAGAGATTTAAACTACTTCATTTTAAATTGCTAGCTCATGGCAGCCACATCCATATGGTCAATTACCACAATTCACTTGATGTGTGATAACATGTTAAGCTGTGGCAGAACAATCATGTGTCTGAATCCTTATTTAAAATCAAGCATCGTTTGTAAGGGGTGGGTGGAGAAAAACTCATCTTGACTGCCTTGCTCAATCTGGTGTCTTCTCTCCCTGCAGTTAATAAAGATAACAGTAAAAAACAAACTGTGATCTTAGATGAGGAGCCGGTATTTTAGCTGGTATTTTTCAGTATGTTCTTGCACTAATTAAAACTTCAGCATAATTTTAAATAAGCTAAGAGATCTCCAGCAATCAATGTGCACCACTAATGAGCAAAACAAAGTCAAAGGCATCAGAGCTAGTTTTCCTTCTTTCTCTTTCATTTTCTCTTTCCCCTTCCTTCTGTCCCTCCCCAAAAATTTCTGTCACATGACATGAGAAGGCAAATATTAATTTTGGTCATGTAAATGGACAGTCTGACAAAACTGAGATAAATCAAAAACAGATGAGCAGAAGCATCATATCTAGGATAAGCAGTACCATTGCTGTTATCGGCTGTATAATGAATTACTCAAAACAATACAGTAACTTCATGACTTTTCTATGATGATGCATTTGCCTTCATATTATTTCAATTTTCTGTTCATGTATACTTATGTTGAAGTTCTAGAAGCATTTGTTTTTGCTGGAACAAAATGATAGCAGAAATGACAGCAAATGAGAGTAGGTGTGTCATGCATCAATACAGTTGTGCTGTTTTCAGACAGAATAGATGCTACTTTTGAAGGGGGGGAAATGCATGCAGTCCGATAATTCCCTGAACTGTAGTAAGCATAAAGGGAGACTTGCCAATCTTAGTCATAGCTTCATCAGAGGAAGAGAAGGAAGGCTGCTGTGACAGCAAGATAATTTTTGAAGACTGAGTGAGTGCCGTTAAATTGCAAATTAATTCCTTTGTACCAATAATTTTGCTCCAGTTTTTTAATTACTGTCATTTGTTGCTTGTAAAAAAACAAAAAAACAAACAAAACAAAAACAACAAAAGCAAAACACACAACAAAGCCTTCTGTTGTATTCTTTTACTTGTAAATGCCCATACTCAAACATTAATAGTAAAGACTTTCCATGGTGCTTGAATATTTCTAGTTTGTTAGAATTCAAATTGTATTTTGAATATTGAAAGATCCATTTTCCTTCTGAAAGCAGGTGATGCCGTTCACACCCCAACTGAATTGTAGATTATGCCAAAAAGATTGGTTTATGTAATATTTATTGAATGCACATAAAACCCTAATGTCAGCTGGCATACAAAATGCACTGTATTGTATAAAACTTTTATGTGTGTGTGTGAATGGTGAGATGCTGATGCCATTGTGTTGAGTTAATGCACTACTTGTGTTTTCTTTTTTTCCTTAATGACTGAGCTTTCCCTCAACCATGCTACTAGATTGGTAGAGTTTGTAACTGACTTGGACATTCAGATATTCAAAATGATTTCACTGTTCATTGAAATTTTATATGGCTTATTTTATATTTACTGTGCTATTAAGATGAATTCCCTTCAATTATAGAATACTACTGTAGTTCTTTAAAAGTTTATTTAGAGTGGGGCTTCTGGAAAATGATTCAGAACATAGTAAACCAAAAGAAATCCTGAACTTTGGATCTACTTTTAATTTGATGTAATTATTAGTCTTGTTTGGGTGAAGAGGAAGGGGGTGGGAAGTCAAGCAAAAGGAAATACTTTGTAAAATGTAGTCTTAGATCAGATTGAATTGTGTATCTGTGTGTCTGTGGTATGTGTGTGTTTCCCTTGAAAAATGGGAGGTGTGGTGAAAAGGTGTAATAATTCTTAAAAGAGCTGGTCTCAGTACTTTCTGATTATGATATGCTACTAAATCGCTTTTTTTAAAAAAAAAAAAAACAAACAAACTTTTTCTTTCAGTTACTTTTATCTGTCCCAGATATATATCTCTCATTTCAATTTCTAAATACTTTTACATTTAATATTGATTGTAAAACCCCTTGAAACTGAAATAAAAATACTTGAAATGGGGAGAAGGCAAAATTAAAACAATAAAGAATGTTTTAAAAAAGAATGTGAGATTATTACATATGTTAAAAACAAGCTTGTCATCAGGATGATAGTTTTTGTTTTAAAATTCAGTGGTATACCCTAGAATGTGAAAATGACTATCCTGACGAGAAGTGAACAGTTGGACATAAACAATTCATCAGCTTGTTTCATACCACAGAATTTACGTGCTCTGTACTACAGTGACTCTAAATTCCGTAAAGAAAGATGACATGCACAGATATCACATCTCATAGTCAGTACTGTCTCTATGTGCTGCTGCATTTGTTTCGTTTCAAAATGTCAATATTATATGGAGCTACACATGACTGAATTTTGCCAGATTTCTTCAGTTTGGCGCTTTCATTGCTGTTTATGTCCACAAATATTAATGCAAATATTTTTCTTGGTTTTGAATAATCAGAAATCAATGGAGTTAATGCAATATTATAATCCTGGATTTTCAGTACCTTTGAAAACAATTTTAAAAAACTGTGTTCTTGAAACTTATTTATTTATGGTGGCACCAGTGTATCTAATCCATATTTCCTGCTGTGTGAAACCCTGTTAAATTTTTTCATTAAAAAAAGAAGACACGATCTTGTTTAATCCTGTATATATGGTGTCTACATTCTAGATTTGTGTATGCTGTGAATGAACTTATTACTAAGAGATTAAATTGTATAAAAGCATTCAGAGGCTATGCATGCATGGTACCTCCAGAAAGTGCATACTCCGAGTTGCAGATTCCTGCAAAAATAAATTAATAAAACTAAGCAAACATCACATCCTGCATTTGTTCTTGTATGTAGTAGGTAACATTTAAAAAATACAGCCTATTGGTTTCACAGTCCGGTTGGTTTTGGTCTTCCACTTGAACCCATAACTATAGCAAATCTGTTTCAGGGACTTTTGGCGTTTTTTTTTTTTGGAGATCGATATGATTCTCTTTAGGCAATTGCTGAATGTTGAACTGAGGTCCAAATCCTGTTTCTGTGAATGTGGACAGCTTGTATAAGCAGGAATCCCATGTAGATGATGGATATTTTGTGCAGCTTCTGGTGTAGGAACAGGATGTAGGGTGTTCAGAGTGCAAAGTTGAGTTCTTCAATTTTCTCTTATTTTTGAATAGAAATTTGTTATTAAAGGAATAGACTAACCTACTGTAGCAGATGATCACCTTTTGTTTGTAGCATTGATTGCAGGCATTCCTGATTATCCTCAATAGTATTGAGTATCCAATTACAAAAGTCCATCTTCTGCTGCATCCTCTTACAGAAAGGCACTGCTCTGGAGGAAGGGGGAGAAATTGAAATGCATAAATCGGTATGCAGGCAATTTGTTTTTATTGGTATATCTTCTCAACTGATCATATCAGCTCACTGTAATCTAAAACTTGAAAGCTTTGTAGCTGTGCTACAGCTGTATTTTGTTCACACAGTTTCAGTCATTAAGCAAGTTCTGGTCTAACAAATCTACTGCAACTTTGGTTTTGAACTTTTGTCTGCTAACGTAAGAATTTAGTTTTGCATTCTTTTTGTTAAACTGAATTCATAGAAATTTCAGGATAGGTTTGTATTTTAATTAGGCATTCTAGTCTTTCACTTTATAAATCGTTTCAATTGAAACGTTTTAAAAAAAAGTTTTAAAGCTTTAAAAAGCATTTCAGAATAACAAGGTACCTGTAAAATATGTTATGCTAATGGCAAACACAGAAAACCAAAAGATACTAAATCTAACAACTGATAGTGGCCACTATTTCATTGCTGGTGCTTGTGTGAAGTCATGAGGAGGAGGATCTGCCTGAAGTAATTGCCTAAAGCTAGTTGGTTTATTTGTAAAAATTGCTTGGGTTTGACAGTACTGCACCATGTCTTAAACCTGTGGTGCTTAGAGAGGATTTGTCTTTTGATGTGGTAAGTATTCCAGGAATTAAGTGCTGCTGCTTTTACCCAGTCAAGATGATCCGTAGTGCTGAGTAAGTACTGTATATTCTCTAATTGCACTCTCTCTGATTGTAAATGCACTTCTTGGAAGGAGGTGACTTAGATAACTAATTTCACCCAACAGCTGGGCTCAAATGATTACATATTAAATTGCTTGCCTGATGTTTTGTGGAAGCACTGTAAAATTGTTAGAGGAGGGGCTATGTTAATTTTTAGCTAGAGGCTCTGTGATCGTGATCTGTTCTAGTTTGACAGTAAAAGCCTGCCCAGACCCATAAAAGCCTCTTGCAGGAGTGACACTTTATTTTACAAAATACTCTTCTTTCTCTAGAAAACAGCAATGTTTTGATTTTTGTAAAAAATATAAATAAATAAAATACATACATAAAAACTCTGCAGATAATTTATTTACAGCTAGGCAAGACTTAAAACCTTGCATGTTTGCTGATTTTTTTACAAGTTCTGTTTTGAAGTTTTTGACAAATTAGTTGTCCCTTACTCCCAAAGCATAGTGATCTTGTCGAAGTTAACAAAGGCTCCCTTGCTAGGTTTGCTTAAGAAAAAAATCAGTAAATTCTTGGTGCTTTAGAAACAAAACCAAAAAAGCCTCTGGGTCGATGACAGGCTCATCAGTATGTTGTATAGCAGCCGGTACCCAACTGTGGCGTTGGTAACGGAGTCGGGGCGCCGTAGCAGCGTGCCTGGATCGGCGGGCGGCCGGGCTGCGGCGGCACGTGCGGCGCCTTCTGGAAGCGTTTCGGGGCCGAACCTGGGGGCCGGTGCCGGGCCACGCGCGCCCCTGGTGCCGCGGGACGGGGCGGCCACAGCCGCCCACGAGGCCACAGCCGCCCACGAGGCCACAGCCGCCCACGAGGCCTGCCCCGCGGGCGGGCGCCGCACGGGGCCTGGCTACCGTCGGTGTCACCGCGGCGGGGAAGGTACGTTGGCCTTTCGGGAAAGAACGAAAAAGCAGGAGCAAACCTTCCCCCACCCTTACGGAAGAGGTGGTTCAGGGGCCACCTGGGAGTCGCGGATTTGGGTCGGCCAAAGTTGGGCCTTCCCTGACCCAAATCGAAGATGTAAGTCGCAGCTCAGTGAATATTCGTCACAAGCTCTCAAGGGCTCCTGGCTGGTTTGTTCTCGGGTACCCTGAACTAGCCTTCTAAATTCCTGACACTGGGGATTATATTTCACCTGAAATTTTTCTTTGCTAATTTTGCGCCTACTGATTAATGACTTGGCAAAGCTGAAGTTGCTGTTGGCAATGTAGCCGGGTCTCTGCGGAGTACCCTGGGCGCTGGGGAACGCCTAGTGTGACTGTGCCTGGGGTCCGGATCCACGTGAAGTATCTCTTACCCTTCCCCCAAGGATGGGGAGAATAATAGTCAGATACACTTTCCGGACAGGTACGTGAGTTTGGAGTAAGCAGGGTCTGAGAAAACTGCAGAGAATTACTTGTGTCTTTATGATGATTTGCAAGTCCTTTCCCCTAATTAGATTTCTGTATTCACTGCTCCTTCTTCCTGATGAACAGCTGTGGTGGTGAAAAATCTTGGTCATCTTTCATCACTGCAGATGCTGAAGCCTAATGGATCGGCTTGGCTGCTGTTCTAGGTAACTTCTTTTTTTGTTTGTTTGGGTTTTTTTGACCCCATGTTTGTCTCAAACAATTGTTCATAAGCCAAACAGACATTCTTTTCTCTTTTTTTTCTTTTTTTAACTGATAATGATATAGGACCGTGTATCTGTGGCTGATCATTTTCTTTTCAAACTCTGAAAAATTCAAAGCTACGGTGAGTAGGTAACAAGTTTTGTGTACATTCACATTCTTCACAATACTGATACCTCCAGTTAGTGTTGTACCACACAGAACTACATAAATACTTCATAAAGCAAATTTTTAAAAAATACATGTAATTTTGAAACTTTCTTCAGGCTTTAGTATTACTGTTTAATGAAACTGAGCAGCAGACTGTCTCATTTGATCCCGTAGCCCTTTTAAGAAACTCAAGCCAATACTGCTAGTAAGAATTGTTATCTCCAGAAAAACAGCAAGTGCCAGACAAAATCTGCGTATCTTATTTTGTATAACTGAAGTGAGATATCTGAAATAAGTCTGGGGTATTTTTTTGAAATATGTATGTTGGCCTTACTTATCACACAATTGATTAAATAAAAAGCTGAGTGATTTGCAAGCAAAACATTCTCTAGTAGTCCATGTATTACAGTACTAAAACTGAGTACTATCAATCAGATTTTTCAAGGGAGTGATAACAAGATCCTTTTTATTTTCAATGACAGCAATATTAAACTTACCAAACATGACACGATACGCCCTTTAAGTGTTCTATCATGTTTTCCTGGTTGATTGCTTTCCAATTCTAGGCCAAGATGAAATATACCCTGCTTTGGCCAAGGAGGTTCCCCAAGTACTTGATGGTTCCTTAACTGAGGTTGACTCATGGATAGCAAGTTTCTTCCAAATTACTAACTTTCAGGTCTGTAACAGTTCTTGGTGCAGATGTTCACCTTGTGAGCATTGCCTTCTCTCCAGCAACGCTTCTGTAAATGAAGCAGACTCTGAGAAGTGAAAAAGTCCAACTAGATTAATATGAACTTTTAAAGACAACTCTGTGAGTGTTGAACAGCTGTGTGCATGCTGGATCTGTCATGAAAACTAATCTTCATTATTGAAATTTTATTTTCAGTTGTTATTCCATCTGGAATAGTGGCTGATGCAATTTGTACCCCAGTGCAAGAGCTGCTGTTCATGTAGAACTTCAAGTGATTCCTCCCTTACAGTTTAATCTTTTAGAAAAGCAGAGAATGGATCAGGTGTGTCAATGTGCTTTTTTGACTGGCTCTTTCCCCTAGGTTCCTAGTTAATCCCTAATTTTGGATATTTCCTCCCCCCCTCCACTGGGACTGAGGTGCAAAGCCCTACCATTTGTGATTTTTTACAGTGTCTATTTTTTTCTATTAAATCTTTGGCAGGAATTCTGTTCTTGTGAGAGGTTGACTATTTCAAATTCCAGCTATATGTTATCTAGATGTCTAGAACTGAGGGGCAACAACGATGTTTTCTTCTCCTTATCTTTCTGATCTACCTGGAGCAATGGCAATGCTGAGACTCCCTGCAGTCACCCAGGTAACTAATTTCAGAGCACTGCCGTGTCCTGGTGCCCTCTTCAAATACACTCTCCCTCACTGGGATCAAATGGAATTGGCTTACTGTATTGACAGGGTGTCTGCACTACCGGGTTATGGAAAATAAGATTAGGATCCAAGCTATACACCTTCAGTCCTTGTAGATCAGGGTGAGTGGATACACTGTCTCGGGCAAGGAGACTGAGAAGCCTTTGGAGGAAAATGGAAGCGTGCACCATGGCTCTCGTGTGCCAGGCGCCAGCAGCTGGGGAGGGCGAGGGGCCAGGGCAGCCCCCCGTGAGCCCCCGTGTCTGAGCCCAGCTGCTGGGGATCCACGTTGGGCACTCCCCCTGACAGCCCCCCATCCTGATCTGCCGGAGGGGGGCTCGGGGTGAGACAGCTGGTGCCGTTTGTGTTCAGGTAAGTGCTGAGTGGGTCCATGTGCCCGGCCATACGTAGCCACACCTGCATATTGCACCCGTGCATGTACGTGTGCCTGCGGGGAACGTGCGCTCAGCCCTGCTGCTGGTCTGACCTGGGGGCACGGGGCAGCTGCAGCCTTGTCTCCATCAGGCTGCAGGGTTTGCCAACTCCACCGCTGGCAGTATGTGGCCGTAGAAATGCACTTGGGAAGGTGCAGTTGTAGCCCACAGAGCCCAGGAAAGAGACATAATCATACCAGTGACAACAGAG